ACGCAGAGGGTGGCTGGAGCTGGGGCCACAGATGGACGTACAGCTGGGCAGCTCAGCACTCTCCTCTGTGCCTTATCAGCTGGGGGGCTGTGGTGGCATGAAGCTGGTGGGAGGCTGGCACTTGCCCAGGATTCTCGGAGCCCTTGTGCTCATCACTTCATGAGTTCAGGCTGCGTGGGGACAGCTCGCTTCAAGTCCACAGTCAGGCGCAACCCTAACTCAGTCTGCCCTGCAAAGGCGGGCCCAGCCCCTGATCCACATGAACTGCCGGAAGAAAAATCCAAAGGGAAAGTCAGTGAAGACATTTGTGGAAAGAACTGTGGAAGAAGGAATAAGAACCTACCATTTTTCCTGCCATTATTGCTAATAAGTAATAATAAAATAACAATGATAACTCATAATGATAATGATAGTATTATTGAACTCTTCATAGGCACTGTATTAAGTACCATTCATTATATTATTTAATCCTTGCAACATCCCCATGAGGCATTATTATCCCCATTTTACAGGTGAGAAGGTTGAGGCCCAGGAAAGTTAAGTATCACAAGATAAACCAGCTAGTAAGTGGCTGGGTTCCTAGAGTGAGTGTGGCTCCCTTTGCCAGACTGGGAAACAGATACCAGAAGAGCCATCCTCCCTCCAAAAGACAGCCAGCCCTTGGCCAAGATGGACAACAGGGTTCCATGCTCCTGAAACCCCTGCACACATCCTGACCTCCTGCAAAGCTAGCTCCAAAAATGCAGAAAATCCAGGCAGTCAGGAGAGCTGCTAGCTTTGCAGGACTGCTTCAAAAGTCGTGGCATCAGATAAGAAACCGATCTAGTCTGATTCTCTCATTTGGCTGGTAGCTGTGGTACCTGAAGGTCTGAGTTCAACTTCTGCCACTAAACTTCTCTGATGAGCAAACTGGGAAACCAATGCATGGGGTTCCCACATAGCACTGGCAAGTGAACAAATGAACTTGGGACATATGTGCTGGGGTCCAGGTCACAAGCATGCCCCTTGTGGGAGGGAGCACTTGATTGAATATAAGTTCTTACCACGTTCTATGGCCCAAGGCTCCCACCTGCCAATCTCTCCGGCATAGGTGTTCCCGTGGGTCACAAATGACAGACCCACCAGCAACTTCCAGGACATGCATACTTTGAGTGCACCCAGCAGGGGGCATCCTTGCCCTTCCACTGCCCGCCCTGGGGGTAAGACTGGCCCACTGCAGGGGGTGCCCTCTACCCAGCTCAGCCCAGGAGCCCAAGGCCACATTTCCCAAATGGGGCATTCATGTAACTTCCCTGATTTTCTCTACTAATATTTACATAACATTTTTCTTTGTCAACACACATTTTACAACCTAAATGTATTTTTTAAAAGAAAAAAGCCCTCTTTGATGAAGATTTTTGGCTCTCCTGACTGCCTGGATTTTCTGCATTTTTGGAGCTAGCTTTGCAGGAGGTCAGGATGTGTGCGGGAGAGTACAGGCCCCCACTGAAGCTACAACTGGGGTCCCAAGAACAGTGAAGGCAGTGTCATCACTGAGTAAAGATAGTCAAGGCTTTTTGTTCTGTGGATTTGGAGCTGGAGATGGAAAGGAAGAGTGAGGAGCCCTGAAATCCTGCAATGAGGAGAGAAGCCTGTCCCTTTCCTCCTCATGCTGAGGGGGAGGAATGGATGGGTCTCTCCAGGCCCAAAGTGGAGAGGGGGCTGATGGCTACAGGACAGATGAAAGGGAGGGACTTCGGTGCCGGGACCAGGGTAGCAGCAGGTGACAGGTGCGGGGGCTTTGGGAAGGGACAGGGATTTGCCTTGCAAAATCCATTCAAACAGACATCCAGGGAACCTGACCCCAGGGAGGGACCCAGAACAGCATGGGCTACCAGGTGGTCCCCAGAGGGGCCCCGGACTGGAGGGAGGGAGAGAGAAGAGATGACTCTGAGGGGTCGGGGAAAGGGAGGAGGAAGAGTCCTCCAAGTTGTTACCATTTCCAGGAGGCTTGGTCAGGCCCTGTTCTGGCTCCATCCCTCTGACCCTAGAATTGCTCTTCTGCAGGTTATTTCTGTGCTGGGAATTCCCTTAGCTCCAGCCTCCACTTGGCGGTTTATTGTCTTAATTCCCCAAGAAGAGTGTCCTCCCTCACCCTCCATCCTGCCCTGGGCCAGACCTCCAGCCGAGACAATTCTAGGGCCTGGGTGAGGGTCTCCACCGTTGTCGGGGATATGCAAAGCCCCATGGCGGGGAACCCAGGGCAGAAAGCCAGGCCCCAGAGGGGAAGGAAGTCATGGGTAGAGTTCCCTACCTCCCCGGTTGGGCTAAGAAGGGCGATAAAAGGAGCAGATTAGGCAAGAGGAAGTGGGCTGGGTTGAGCTGGGCTGGTGCTGAACCCCCTGGGCCTGGGGCAGAGTGTGGGTCACGCACCTGAGCAGCTGGGGCTGAGCCTTGCCAACCAGAGCAGCCATCCCTCCACCCCAGTCCCGCTGCAGGCCGGGGTGCAGAGCAGAGGCGGGCACCCGGAGGACAGCGCGGTGGAGGCAGGGGCAGGGGCTGCTCGGTGGGGGTCCGGGCCCCAGGCAGTCCCAGAGGCCCAGAGGTGGGAGTCTGGTGGGTGAGGGGGTGATTGCTTTGCCTCATGTGCACCTCATTTTCATGGAGAGGAAGCATTGAGAAAGAGGAGCCGTGTGTTCAGCCAACTTTGCTTATTCAAAACACTCCATTCCAGCTGGGTCCTGTCCCCACCTGACCCCTGCCTCTGCGGTGGTCCCAGCTTTTGGGGTCAGACCCCCATGCTCTGGCCCCTGCCCAAGGACGTCTTTTCTCCTAGTAAGCTCCCTGCGCCTTTCCTCCGTCCTGGCCTGGGCAGCAGTCTCCCCAGTCGATTTCCATGTCGTCCTTCTCCAGCCCTCCTGGGCCAAATCTGACCGGGGACCACCGCAGGGACTGAGAGGCCCTGGCTCCAAGGCGACTGGGCCTCATGACCACCTGTCCGTTGTGAGCAGCGCAGAGAAGGAAGCCCAGAGCAGGAAGTGCTGAGAGGCACAGGGTGGGGGTGGGGGCGGGGGCTTCCAGAAGAGGCGGGGGCTTCCTGCTTCTGCCTCCTTGGGCAGAAGCAGTGACCACAGGCCCCCATGGCAGGCAGGGCGAGTGGGAGGAGGGTGATTTACAAGGCAGATGGGTCTCTGGCTAGAGCTCAGCCCTGCACTCAACCAGGGCCACCCCAGGGGCTATAAGAGCACCTAGATTTCTGGAGCAGCTCAGGGACGGGTGCCACGTGAGCCCAGCTTGGCTCCCCCTCCTGGCTGGCCTCCTTCCTGCCCTTCTTCTGCCCGCCTGTGTCTGCCCAGACTCTCCAAAGAGGAACAGTTGGCACCATGTCTCTGCTCAACCCTGTGCTGCTGCCCCCCAGGGTGAAGGCCTATCTGAGCCAAGGGGAGCGCTTCATCAAATGGGATGATGTAAGTGGGGCAGGGGCCTTGGCTTCTGGGGCACTCGGTCGTGGGGGCCGGGCTGCTCGCGGGCTTTGCCGGGGCGGGAGGATTGGTTTATGTCTCCTAGGACCCAGGCGCCTGTGTGGTTTGGCCAGGCAGCTGACACCACTGCCTGGATAAACAAACCTGTGGTTAAGGGTGTATGTCCCCGGCTGCAGGGCTAAGCCTCGGTGTCTAGGTGTGAGAAGTTGGTGAGCTGCCTGGTTGGTCACTAGAGGTAGTTTATTTGGGTCTGCATCTCTTCTCCTTCAAACCCCCAAGAGAACAGGAGGAAAGTACAGCCCAGAGCAGAGGCAGGCCAGGAGGAGAGGTGAGCTCGTCCCTGCTCCCAGCACAGATGCTTTGCCCTTGCTCTGGCAGGGCGCTTAGACCCAGCTCCTTCACCCCTCCATCGGGCATCATCCCGTCCAGGGAAGCCTTGCTCTCCCCTGCGCTGCTGTGGGGGCAGCCACGAAAGGCCCCTGGACCTAAGTGAGAACTAGAGGCTTCTGCTTCCAGGGGAGGAACTGATTTGACTTCTGCTACCCCTTGCTGGACTCAGCATTGCTCCCCGATGCATGTCTGCAGGGAAGGGGAAGGCACTGCTGCACCCTGCAGCCCTCTCTCTGCTGTGTCTGTTCCTTCCTACACGGGGCTGCTCCCAGCCTCTGGTTCTCCTGGCCCCTGAAAATGTTCCCTTAGGCCAGGGATTGTCTTAGGCTGGGGAGAACAATATGGAGATCCTCCTTCAGGGAGGGGAGGCTGCTGGGCTGGCCCAGTCTGAGAGTTAGAGTGCTGGGCTGGTCCCAGGAAGGGAAATGAAGGCTGGGTGGGGTGCTAGCTTGGAGGGAGGTGGGATGAGAGGGTCTGGGTCTAGGCCCTTTGGGGCTGGGCTAGGGGATCTCACTGCTCAAGACTACGGGTTGAGGCCCTGTGGTGAGAAGCTTCCTGCTTCCCTAGGAGCGATGTGGGGTTGGTGTAGCATGGTGGTGGTGGCATGGAGGTGACATGCCCCAGGAGCCTGTGGAACGAGGGAAGTGGCTCCGAATGAAAAGCGAAGTGGCCTCTCTCAGTTCCTCTGGGCAGTGTGTGTAACTTGACTGGGCAGAGGGTCACAGGGTGGCAGTGGAGGGGCGGGTTGGCGGCTAGTGGAGACTATCCTTCTTCCTAAGCTGGCACCTGTGTACCTGGCTGTTCCCTTCCCCTCTCCAAGGTAAGGTATTGGATGTTCCCTGGATGCCTGACCTGCACAAGCAAGAATGTCCCAAGCCTAGCCACAGGGCCCATGCTGCTGTGAGACAGGGCTCTGCTTTCAGGCTGCTTTCGGCACAGTTAGTGGATGACATGGGTATGCTGTGCCATGTTGAGTAGGCAGAATACATAGGATGTAACCAAATCCCCACTTTATTTCATCCCCATGGCCTCTTTCCAGTATATTTGGTAGGAGAAGCTCTTCTCCTGGCCATGGAAAGAAACTCTGCAAGGCCACACAATATTACATTTACTCTCAGGTAACACAGTCCAGTGGTCACTTTTCATCACAAAACCCAGTCCGATGTCAGAAACTGGCTATAATGAAAACTCCAGCCTTTATTTACATTAATGTCTTCTACCCTCCTCCTTCGAGGAATGGCTTCAGGTAGGCTGCAGGCCCCATGGAAAGGGCCTTGGTGGGATTCCCTGCTGGTCCTGCTCAAGGCCCCTCTAGGCATGAGCTGTAGGGAGGGAGGTGGGAAAGGGGCAACCAAGTTCTATTTAAATAGGTGCTGTCATAAATTGGCTCATGCTTTCTGAGGCTGGCAGAAGCTTAAAGCTTATTCTTTCTCTGGAGGACATTTTTGAGGATTCTTGGGGGACCCTCCCCTTTGAATGGGGATCTCTTGCTTGAAGTCACCCCAGCATTTCCATTTTAGAGGTCACTCACAACTATGTCTTCAGCCCCTTGTTACTACCTTCAGCTTCCTGTGGCTTTAGGCCCTTTGCCCCCACTCTCCCATGGGCCCACCCCGGACCCCAGCAAATACCCACGCATCTGCTGTCCCAAGGGTGCAGGCTCGTCTGACAGGCCAGCACCCCCGCTCTGCCCCGCACAGTTAGCCCACTGTAGCCCACTAGGTCTCCTGGGCAGAAGTCCGACCTCTGTCTGTTATGCCTACAACTTCAAGGATCACAGGGGCCTGTTGTGAGGTTGGGGGCAAGGGAAGGGAGAGCATGAGGACAAATACCTAATGCATGCGGGGCTTAAAACCTAGATGACGACAGGTTGACAGGAGCAGCAAATCACCATGGCACATGTATACCTATGTAACAAACCTGCACATTCTGCACATGTATCCCAGAACTTAAAGTATAATAATAATAATAATAATAGATCACAAAAGCTCTCCAAGTAGAGATGAAACTCCTCACTAGGCTTAAGGTGGGGGATCAGACACTCCAGCTCTCCCTTGGGGAGGTAAGAGAATGGAGCTCCCAACACAGATTTCTCAAAATTGGCTTCCCCACAAAAATTTTCTCTTTCCCCTGTACTCTAACCACCCCTGATCTGAGAACATTTTTTGGATCGTTTACTTTGTAAATGCTGCATTTGGTCTGTTTTAGTGTGTGGCAACTATTGTGCCTTGCTGGAAACCTTAATTTTAATATCTTGCTATACACACATACAAAGACCATTAAACTAAAAGGTAGCCTATGTGCTCTGTGAGTGAGTGGAACAGGATTTTAGAAGGTGAGTTCATTCATTCATTCATTCACTCATTCAGCAAATACCACATTCAAGCGCCAAGCACCAAGCACCAAGCTCAAGGTCTAGCACAGGCTTGTTGTCCTGGAGTCCATGAGTCCCTGGTGATTTCCTAGGTGGGCTTCTAGGTCTGTGACCCACATCTCCCTGGTTACTATAGCACATTTCAGGAAGGGTTTTTGGAAGCTGGGGGGCTCGGGTTGTCCTTGAAGTTATTTCAAGCAGAGGAGATTTGGGCACTTAGGTCTGGAGGTGGGAAGGCTTGGTGTCTTTATGGGACAGTTGAATGGATGGGGTAGGAGGTGTTCATGGAGGGAAGAAGGGGCATATGGAAAGTTAGGTGGCATCTGGATTGTGCAGGACCTTAGATGCCGGTGCAGGAGTTTGGGCTCTTGGCTCTCGCTGTGTCAGTCTCTCCTGGGTGGCAGTAGGGAGTCTCCCTCTATGAGGTGAGGTAGGTGCCAAGATCCTTAGGTTCTAGAGGGAGAAAGTCTATTTGGGCTTTAGAAGGGAAAACTCTTCTCTTCCAGAAATGGCATCCCCAAATCCTCTGTCCCTCCCGGTGCTTAGCTCTAGACAACTAAAGAAAATGCCTTCAGATTTCTGGGATGGGCACCTCCTGGGAAGATGATGAGCTCTGAAACCCCTGGCCTGGACCAGGGAGGCTTGGCCCGAGGTCTCGGAACAGAGTGCTGGCTCCTTCTCTCTGCAGGAAACTACAATTGCCTCTCCAGTTATCCTCCGTGTGGATCCTAAGGGCTACTACTTATACTGGACATATCAAAGCAAGGTGAGAAAACCCTTGTGTGCCATGGCCCTGGACTCCCGCTTATCCACTGAGGTCAGGCAGCCTCCTGGCCGCACTGAGGTGGAGGCATGGATGATGGGGAGTACAGAATGGCCTGGAAGGATGGCTCCAGGGGCTCCCCTGTGGGTAGGGGCTGTTTGCTCTGGAAAGGAGGATGCAGTCACTCCAACCTGTGGCTACCCAAATGTTCCATCCTTAGCATCCCTTGGGGAGAGAGAGAGAGACAGGCAAAAGCACTGCTGCTGAAGGCCGATGCTCTGCCTGTGGCTGTGGGTTGACTTGGGGCTCTGGGAGATGAGAGATAGGCCCCAGCTGTTGGGCAGGAGGACGGGAAGGGGAAGCCGAAGAGGGTCCAGGATGGTGGAGGAGACACTGCAGGCTTCAGCTCCCTGCCAGGGAGGAATGGACAGAGGGGAAGGGAGGAGGATCTGCATGAATAGAGAGAACCTGAGCCATAGGAAGGGAAGGTGGGGTCCAGGTGGACCTGGGCAGCCCTGGCATCTAGAGAGAGGTGTTGGCCAAGATTTGAAGGGCGTGGAAACTCCCTTCTCCCTGTTGCTCATTCTTGACCTGGACTTTTTGTCCCACATCCTTTCTTTGCTCCCACCGGGATCCCCCCTACCCCCAGGAGATGGAGTTTCTGGATATCACCAGCATCCGGGACACTCGCTTTGGGAAGTTTGCCAAGATGCCCAAGGTAGGTGTGTCCAGTAGCAGCCCGGGTTCAAGAACAGCTACTAGCTCCATGGGGCAAGGGCAGGGGGTCCCTGTGGGGGTGGGAAGCCTGACTTCTGGAGCACGGGGAATGGTTCCTGGGCTGGGCAGCAAGGACCGTGGCTGGAAGCCAAGGAAGGGGAACGGCTGCTCCTGGGCTCGCCTGGGCTCTGAGCTTCAGAACTGGGCACAGTGAGCTGAGATGGCAGGGATCTGGGAGGAGGGGTCAGCTCCTGCCCCTAAAGCACCCCAGCTTGTCTGGGAGGGGTGGCTTACACCCCCACCCCTGGACTAGTTTGCCTATATTTGTCTAATGCTGGTAGGAAAATTGGAGGAAGGGATTGGTGGGAAGCAGATTTTCTGAGACTGGGAGCTAAGAATCCATCTTCAAACAAAAGTGGCAACCAACACACACAGGACTCCCAGGCCTGCCCCCCCGCCCGCCTGCCACCTTGGCTAACCTTTTCCTCAGGGCCTCTCCTTCCCATCCCAGCCGCTGGAGTCAGGGACAGGAAGATGCTAAGGCCTGTGGTTCCTGGGATGGGGATGGGATTCTGCCCAGTGGGCCATAGCCCAGGTGGCTGAGGGGAGGGCCAGAGAGAGCCACACTGGGCAGGGAGGGAGCATACCTCCATCCTAACCATGCCACCACGTGCTGCAGAGCCAGAAGCTCCGGGACGTCTTCAACATGGACTTTCCTGACAACAGCTTCCTGCTGAAGACGCTCACCGTGGTGTCTGGCCCGGACATGGTGGACCTCACCTTCCACAACTTCGTCTCCTACAAGGAGAATGTGGGCAAGGTGTGCCAGGGAACACCGGGCCTGGGTCTGGGCCCCTGGGATAGCCTGGACTTCCTGAGAGACACAGGCCTGGGCGGGGGTGCTCAGGAGCCTGACTGCTGCTCTCTGTGGTCCTGCAGGTCTGGGCTGAGGACATACTGGCCCTAGTCAAGCATCCGCTGACGGCCAACGCCTCCCGCAGCACCTTCCTGGACAAGATGTAAGCGCCCCCTGCCTGGCCTGAGCCCTGGTGCTAAGTGTGCCAGCCCTGGGCCTTGACGGGCTGCTTTCTGCCCCCCAGCCTCGTGAAGCTCAAGATGCAGCTCAACTCTGAAGGGAAGATTCCAGTGAAGAAGTGAGACCCCCAACCCCTCCCCAGGCTTCCAGGGGCTCCCCAAAGCCTTTCTTTTCTAGTCCTGACTCCTCTCCCTACCTGGTGCCTTTCTCTGCCCCTTTAGCTTTTTCCAGATGTTTCCTGCTGACCGCAAGCGTGTGGAAGCTGCTCTCAGTGCCTGCCACCTCCCTAAAGGCAAGGTGAGTGGATTCGCACCCCCCATCCCCCAGTATCCTTGTCCCCACCAGAAAGCAACTTGGCCAGGAATGGTGGGTCGGGCAGCAGAGATGACATCACGGCCCCAGCCAAGAACCTGGAGAACCAATCAACCCTGGAGCTGCTGGTTACTGACACTAGGCACGGGGGTGGAGCCAGGGCCAGGGGGTGAGACACTGGGCTCCAAGCAGGTTTGTCTGTATCCCCTACCCTGGGTGGTGGGGGCGCTGGGACCGTGGTTGGCGGACTGTGTTCAGGGCAGGCAGCAGAAACGGCGTGCATTCCCAGTCTAGTGTTGGGAATGGGAGCTGAGAGTGAATATTTTCAGCCTGGAGGAGCGAGATAAGGTCTGCGGTGGCAGGCGGCAGCCTGCAGGGATCTGGGAGTCTGCAGGGTATCGGGGGAGAGGAACTGAACCAAAGGCGGAAGCTGCCAAGATGCAGACTTCTGCTCTGTACAGAAAAGCATTTTTTTCTTGTCTTTTTAGTTAAGTAATTAAATTTTAATTACAAGTTGTAAGCAGGGTCACCCCATGAGGCACCTTATGTGAATTACAAAAAGGAGCCCTCTGGGCTGATACGGCCCTGAGCCAGGGTTCAAGCTTGGCCAGAGGAAAGGACCTCAGCCCCTGTCCCTGCTTGGCCAGTCCTCTTGTGTGGGTCCCAACCTGTGCCCCATGGAGCATTTTCTCCTGGTAAGAATTTGGAACATTATAAATAAACAAAACTAAGACCCCCATTGATCACCTGCCCACGTGAATCCCAGGACGAGCCTTCACCCCACAGCCACAGCTCTGCGGAGTTGGTGACTCCTTGATGCAGTCACAGGGATCCAAATGTGTCATTGGGGAGAGGTAGGAACGGGCTCCTGCGGCTCCCGTACAGCCAGCGCCACTTACCCGTGGTCAGCACACATCCACCTTCCCTCTCTCCTGCCACCTGAGCTCCTCCCTTGGCTAAGTCCTCCTTATCTATCTGCTTTCCTTGTGTTTCAGTAGAGGATACTGACCTAACTTTGCTTGGAGCTGAAGCTCCAGAGGCAGGGATGGGTCTGGGGAGATATAGTTAGACTCTCCTGCTCAGACCCTCTGCTCCAAACTAAGACTGATGTTGGCCTTCCAGTGTGATTCTGAAAGACATTTAATGTTTTTTTGTCGGGAAGGGAAGGAATGCAAAGGTGCAGAATCCATGAATACCACAAATGTACTATTTGTTTCTATTTCTATAGATTTGCCTATTCTGGTGGTAAAGTAAATGAAATCATAAATATGTGCTCTTCAATGTCATAATTCATTTGTCATAATGTTTTCAAGATTTGTCCATGTAGTAGCATGCATGAGTACTTCATTCCTTTTTATGGCCTAATAATATTCCATTGTATGGATATACCACATTTTGTTCATCTGTTTATCAGTTGGTAGATGTTTGAGTTTTTCATACTTTTTGGTTATGAATATTTGTGTACATGATTTTGTGTGAACATGTTTTCAACTCTCTCAGGTATATACTCAGTGAGGGAATTGTTGGGTCATGTGGTCACTCTATATTTAACATTTTGAGAAACCGCCCAACTGTTTTCTAAAGTGAGAGCATTGTGTGGGGATTTATTTTTATTTATTTATTTATTTATTTTTGAGACAGAGTCTCACTTTGTTACCAAGGGTGGAGTGCAGTGGTGCGATCTTGGCTCACTGCAACCTTTGTCTCCCAGGTTCAAGCGATTCTCCTGCCTCAGCCTCCTAAGTAGCTGGGATTACAAGCATGTGCCACCATGATGGGCTAATTTTTGTATTTTTAGTAGAGATGGGGTTTCACCATGTTGGCCAGCCTGGTCTTGAACTCCTGACCTCAGGTGATCCACCCTCCTTGGCCTCCCAAAGTGCTGTGTGGGGTTTTAGTTTTGTCACATCCCACTAACACTTGTGGTTATCTTTTACTTCAGCCATCCTAGTGGGAGTGGTATCTCATTGTGGTTTTGATTTGCATTTCTCTAACAACAAATGATATTGAGCACCTTTTCGTGTGTTGATTGGTCACTTATATATCTTCTTTGGAGAAATACCTGTTCAAATTCAATGTTCATCTTTCAATTGGGTTGTCTTTTCGTTGACTTATCTCTTATCCGATACCTGCTTTGCAAATATTTTATCCCATTCTGTGGGTTACCTTTTCACTTTCTTGATGGTGGCCTTTGAAGCACAAAAGTTTTTAATTTTGATGAAGTTTAATTTATCTTTCTTTGTCCCCGTGCTTTTGGTGTCTCCAAATATTATTGTTGAATTGTCCTCCTTTCAATTCTATCAGTTTTTGTTTCTTATATTATGGGGCTCTGTCGTTAGGTGCATATATGTTTGTATGCAAATTGCTTCTTTTTGAATATTTGTCCTCCACTTAAAAAAGACAGCCTACGACCCTGGCAAGCAGCACCATTTCTTCTGACCTCTTTTCTACCTCATTCTGGTCATTCTTAGTTCTGATCCTGCCCCAGCTGATAGAATAGCCACTGTACAAAATCAGGGTCAGAGCAAACCAGCTAAGCATGCTCTCTGCTCAGCAACCAGGGCCTTGAGAAGTGGGTGCTTGGGTGTCCTTGAAGTTCTGTCTGCCTTGAGCCTACCTTCTGACCAGGTCCCCTTGACCAGGACTAGGCCAAGTTTGTGGTTCTTAGCTCTGAGAAGGTGAGGGCAGGGGCAATAAGGTGACTATGCCCCTAGAATGACGCCATCAATCCTGAGGACTTCCCAGAACCTGTCTACAAGAGTTTCCTCATGAGCCTCTGTCCTCGGCCAGAAATAGATGAGATCTTCACTTCTTAGTGAGTTTCTTGGATTGTGCTTTTCATGGGAAAAGGGTGGTGGCCAACGATCCCCTCCTCCCACCTGCCATGCTGGGAATCAGGAGGCTTCACTGGACAAGGGGGTTGTCTAAGCCTCTAGGCCCAAGGGATATGGACCTGCGCTCTTCTCTCTGGCCTGCAGCCATGCTAAGGCCAAACCCTACATGACGAAGGAGCACCTGACCAAATTCATCAACCAGAAACAGCGGGACTCCCGGCTTAACTCCCTGCTGTTCCCGCCAGCACGGCCTGACCAGGTGCAGGGCCTCATCGACAAGTATGAGCCCAGTGGCATCAATGTGCAGAGGGGTGAGAACTAAGGGAACCCCTTGTCCCCTGTGGTCCTGTCCTGCCTTGGCAGCGGGGCTGCAGCCCTGACAGCTATCTCCTGTCCCCCAGGCCAGTTGTCACCTGAGGGCATGGTCTGGTTTCTCTGTGGGCCAGAGAACAGTGTGCTGGCCCAGGACAAGCTGCTGCTCCACCACGACATGACACAGCCACTCAATCATTACTTCATCAACTCGTCCCACAACACCTACCTGACAGGTGGGCCCTGATAACCTCAGTGCCAACCTCTGCTTTCACAGGGGTTCCCTGCATCCTCCACGGGGGTTGCCCACATGCTGCTGGCCCTGAGAATAAATCAGACCATGATGGAGTGGGGTGGGGGAGAGCTGGGCTGCCTTTGGGTGATGCCCTCACCTCTTCCCCATCCTCTGGCTCAGCCGGCCAGTTCTCAGGCCTCTCCTCGGCTGAGATGTACCGCCAGGTGCTGCTGTCCGGCTGCCGTTGCGTGGAGCTAGATTGCTGGAAGGGGAAACCCCCTGACGAAGAGCCCATTATCACCCACGGCTTCACCATGACCACAGACATCTTCTTCAAAGTGAGACCCAGGGCACAGAGGTGGTAGTGACAGGAAGGGCTCTGGGCCAGAAGCTTTGAGGGGTTGGAGGGCTGAAGCTAGAGAGGAGGAATGGCTGGAAGGCCTCAGACCAGTGGGGACCAGAGGGGATTGGGGGCCAATGGCGGCCATCCAGTTATATGTGTGTATTGAAACTAGGCAGGAGGGAAAAGTGCCATCATGGGACAGGCAGTCAGAATGCTGACCTTCTGTTCATGGAGTCTCCTTCTCCTCCAGGAAGCAATTGAGGCTATTGCAGAAAGCGCCTTTAAGACCTCCCCGTATCCTATCATCCTGTCGTTTGAGAACCATGTGGACTCGTGCGTATCCAGGCTCATTTAGCCACATTCTCACCCAGTCCCCAGTCTCTTGCCTGCAACTGTCCTCCCCGCAACTGCCCCAGCCTCTAGCTGTTGCCTGCAGTTTCTCCCATGTCTCAATATTATCTCCCTAAGGCCCCATGTTCTCCTGCTCAAGTCCCTCCCTCCCTGACCTCCTGGCCCCTGATCTGGGTCATCAAGGGCACAAAAGGATGCATAATAGGGTTGGTGCTGAGTGACTGAACCCCACCCCCACTTTTGCTCCCTGCAGACCCCGCCAGCAGGCTAAGATGGCTGAGTATTGCCGGACGATCTTTGGGGATATGCTGCTCACAGAGCCCCTGGAAAATTTCCCAGTGAGTGGGCTTTGCTGTGGGACATTTGGGCCTTGGGCCTGGGAACCTGGGGCAGGGTGAGGACCAGGTTAGGGAGGGAGACACTCCCAAGGATGCTAGGGTTCACTTGGTTAGATGTGAGTCTGGGATCCTGTCACCTACCACGTGTCAGGCTCTGTGCTGGGCTTCGGGGTATGCTAGTGACAAAGACACAGTCCCTGCCTTCAGGTGTATTACCCTCTGGTGAGGAGACAGACAAGTAACCAGGCCATTACAACTCAGTGGTTGTTATGGGAGCACCTGGGGAGTTCTGATCTTGTCTTGGGGGATCCGGAAAGGCTTCCTGGAGGAAGTGATGGACAGGGCTCCTAGAGTAGCCTGTTAGATCCTCCTGGTGCAGATGGCCTTGGGCCAGGGTCCTATACTCAGGGAGAGCTACAACAAGTGCCAGATGAGCCGCATTTACTCCAAGGGATAAGCTGGATTTATCTCGGTGAGAATGGGATGAGGAGCAGTAGTGAGAGGTGGATCAAGAGGAGTGGTGGACACCAAGGGAGCATGCTTGGCATTAAGGAGCTCAGGCTATGCCATGAAGGTGAGAAGATGGTGCTGACCTGCTCTCCACTCCATAGCTGAAACCAGGTGTCCCCCTGCCCAGCCCTGAGGATCTCAGGGGCAAGATCCTCATCAAGAACAAGAAGAACCAGTTTTCCAGCCCCACCTCCTCCAGTAAGGATCCTGGGGGGGAGGCTGAGGGCAGCAGCCCACGCAGTGCCCCTGCAGGTGAGGGCACAGGTGAGTCGGGGAGGACTCTGGTGGGGGTATTAGGAGAAGCTGGAACAGGAGAGGGGCTGGACCTGGAGGAGCCATGCAGGAGCCAGTGCCGACAGAGCTGTCTGTGGCAGTGTGGGCTGGCGAGGAAGGGACTGAGCTGGAGGACGAGGAGGTGGAAGAGGAAGAGGAGGAGGAGTCAGGAAACCTGGACGAAGAAGAGATTAAGAAGATGCAGTCGGATGAGGTGTGTGGGGGTAGCCCTGGGCCCCCCTGTGTCATCCTTCACTGCTGAGCCCCTGGGTAGGGGCCTTGGGCCACATTCCTGGGCTCTACACCGTCCTTCTCTTCTTTGCCCTCCCCTCTCCTCCTTAGGGCACAGCGGGCCTGGAAGTGACGGCTTATGAGGAGATGTCCAGCCTAGTCAATTACATTCAGCCCACCAAGTTCATCTCCTTTGAGTTCTCTGCTCGTAAGTTAGCATGAGTGGTGTTGGCGGGTGGTCAGGCTAGCCTCAGGAGGAGCCTGTTCCGAGACCAAGCAGCTTGACGGGTGGGCAAGAGGAAGGGGGATCTCCCCCTTCCTTGGACTTGGGGCCCTGCCTATAAATACCCAGCCAGGGAGTCAGGCAAAGGGCTTGCTTAAGTGGCAGTGGCTCCCAGTTTCTCTAGTGAGGAACTTGGCACCAAACAGAATGCTCTGGAGTGTGTCGGTGACAGGCTGGGCGTTATGACAGGCCACCTTGGCTGGGATGGCCTGGGGCTCCTGCAGCTGCCTGCAGGCTCTGTGATTCCCAGGGCTGAACTGTGCTGTGGGCTGGCCCAAGTCCAGAAGCCCTGGCCCTGGGACATGAGACTTCCTGAGAGGGAGTGGAGGCGGAGAAAGTCACCAGAGCATACTGCGCAGTCACACTCTTCCCCTTTTGTGCACACCCCGGCTGTTTACCTTTATCTTCTCTGGACACAAGCACAGTACGTTCCTCTCACTCTGTGCATGTCGCGCACACGAGCACCTCTTTCTGTCTCCTCCTGTGCACAGCTGGACTTCTGTGGCACCGACTTCTCATCACTGAACCCACAGCCTGCATCTCCACCTGGGCACACTCATGACATGTACTACACTTAATGTGCCCCTCTCCCCAGACGCGTTCAGCCATAGCTTACACACCTCACTCCCTGTGCACATCAAAGCACGTGTTCACATTTCATGTGTGCACAGCATGTTACTGACCCCCTAGGCTCAGCCTGGCATGTTCCCCATGCCCTCTGTGTCCATCTATGGCATGTGGGCCTCACTCTCCACATCCACGGCACACACCCCACCCCTGTGCCTACACACTGAGAACACCTCTCACCCCAGCAGGCACTGTGATCCATACCCTTCTCCCAGAGGTTGGTCCCTAAGCCTCAGGCCTCAGTGGAAATGCTGGGTTGGAGGCATCTCCATAGGCCAGAGGGAGCTGCCCCAAAGGCGAGGCCAAGACTGAGGGAGGGGACAGCCTGATAAGACTCCTCCCCTCCCTTTCTCCCCTATATAGAAAAGAACCGAAGTTATGTCATCTCGTCCTTCACAGAACTCAAGGCATATGACCTGCTCTCCAAGGCCTCGGTGCAGTTTGTGGAGTATCCTTGAGGCTTCCGTGGCCAGGGTCCCTGGCTGGGGTGGGGAGCTAGAGGAGGGCCTGGGGACAGGGCCCCCACGGTAAGCTGTTAGGTCCTCCTGGTGCAGACGGCCTTGGGCTAGGGTCCTATACTCTGGGACAGCTACAACAAGCGCCAGATGAGCCGCATTTACCCCAAGGGAACCCGCATGGACTCCTCCAACTACATGCCCCAGATGTTCTGGAATGCTGGATGCCAGATGGTTGCCCTCAACTTCCAGACGATGGGTGAGGGCATTCCCAGGCCCCTAAGAATCCTTCCCTGGTCCCTGTGCCCCCTACCTTTATATCCCTGAGGAGTCTTTGGAACAGCCTGGGGAGTCCTGCTGTTTGTGTAGACTCTGGGAACATGCCCGGGTATGTGAGAATTTGGGGGTAGAAATGCACTAGCCTGTGTGCCTGCGCATACGTGACGGATGTGAAGATGCCAGGCTGGCCGCTCCACCCAGGTGTGTCTGTGGGCCACCTGCCCCAGCTGCCCCAGCTCCCACAACAGGCGCTCGGCCTGGCTGTGGCTTTGCTCCTTGCTGCCTCGAGGCTATGGACCCTGCCTAAGAGAGGAGACACCCCAAGGAACCAGACTGGGATAGGAGAAGCCCTCATCCTCATGGTCCACCCAACCTCCCCATTCACCAGACAGCAAATGCTGGGAATGGAGGAAATGGAGACTGGGCACAGCCACAGAGCTGGGCCTTCCTCACTGAGTGTCCTTGTCCCTCCAGACTTGCCCATGCAGCAGAACATGGCAGTGTTTGAGTTCAATGGGCAGAGCGGCTACCTCCTCAAGCACGAGTTCATGCGCCGGCCGGACAAGCAGTTCAACCCCTTCTCAGTGGACCGCATCGACGTGGTGGTGGCCACCACCCTTTCTATCACGGCAAGGCCCTGGGACAGACAAGTGGCCGGGAGGCTGAGGTCCTGAGTAGAAGGGCACAGGAGCCCACCCCTCACTCAACTCCCAACCCCCTCCCCTGATATCCTGGAAACTTCAGCCCCAGCCAGTTCCTGCAGTAGCAAGTTGCCTTGGAAACTGCCTCCTCCTCAGCACTGGAGGCTGCCACTTGGTCCCCATGGAAACCAACGGGAAGGGCTGAGGCTGGGGTGGGGGAGGGGAGGAAGAGTGGGCAGAGTGGGGCAGCCAGAGGCCCAGGTCCTGGGGGAAGGCGTTGTTCCCTCTTTGACTGGGGAGGGAGGTGGGAGGCCCGCCTCTTCCCTTCATGCTAGAAGCACCCTGGTCCTCAGAGCTTAGCTGTAACCCGTGGGCTACACAGCCTCTACTCGTGGCCAGAGCCGAATGAGCTTCTTCATAACACCCAAGAACGAACGCTTCAGCTCTAGAGAGCCGGGGCCCCAGATGCTTGGGGAAGGGCCTGGGTGGGGATTTGATGCTGGTGTCCCTGGGCCTCCGCCCCCAGGTGATCTCTGGGCAGTTCCTGTCAGAACGCAGCGTGCGCACCTATGTGGAAGTGGAGCTGTTTGGCCTTCCTGGGGACCCCAAGAGGCGCTACCGAACTAAGCTGTCACCCAGTACCAATTCCATCAATCCTGTCTGGAAGGAGGAGCCCTTTGTCTTTGAGAAGGTGGGGGCCAGGGCATGGCAGGGCAGAGTCTGTCTATTCTCGGCCTCTACTTACAGACAAAAGGAAGTAAACAAGGCAGCTCCTTGACCTTCTTCCTCCTCCTCTTTCCACCCCTCACCCTGGTGCAAAACCCAAGTTTACAGAAGTTTCCTTGGTAGGCAGAGTGTGTGTGTGTGTGTGTGTGTGTGTGTGTGTGTGTGTGTGTGTGTGTGTGAGGATTAGAGGCAGAAATGTGAACTCAGGGTTGAGGGTCCCATGGGGCTCTTTTGCCCCACTGGATACCCACTAGCAAAGCTGCCAAGTGCTGTCTGCACCGGGTCCCCTCAGCCCTGGGCTGCACATCTCGCCCTCCTCCCCTGTGTGGAACCAGCCACGGCATGAGCTGTGGGGATGTCTTTGTATATGGCCTAGAATGTGCTGTCGGTCTGTCCCCACCAAACCTGGTGACACTCACCATGTTCTCACAGTGATGCTGATACTTCTGGAGCCAGGGAGCAGGGCAGCTTGGCTCCCTTTTCCCCTCCCAGCCTGTCATGTCTCCAACTCTCCCCAGATCTTGATGCCTGAGCTGGCCTCTCTCAGGGTGGCTGTGATGGAGGAAGGCAACAAGTTTCTTGGACACCGCATCATCCCCATCAATGCCCTAAATTCTGGTAAGGAGCGGGGTCCTTCTTCACTGTTCCAAGATCAGCAGCAGGAGCCTGTGCACAGGGTGGGGCAGCTTCTGGGAGGGCGCCTGGAGTGAGGCCTTACCTAAGCCCTCACATTTCAAGGAGTAGGGCAGGAACAGTACCTCTCCAGGAACCTGACAGAGGTGGGAACTCTGCCCACCTAACAGAATTGCTGTAATTTTCTGAAACGGCTGGGGCAGTTTCTCAAGTAGCTGACACTTATGGGCATTTAAAATGTGCTAAGGGCTTATAATACATTCTCACAATAACCACATGAGTAGACACTCATCCCCTCTTCACAGATGAGGAAAGTCTCAGAGAGTTAAAGTAACTGGCTGAAGTCACACAGCCAGGATGGTGCAGTGCCAGACTTAGACCCTTGGGTCCTGGGCTGTGTGTGCACAGCACTGGCAGGAATGGGCTCTGGCTCACTGCCAACCCCGTCCTGTCTGACAGGGTACCACCACCTGTGCCTACACAGTGAGAGCAACATGCCCCTCACCATGCCTGCGCTCTTCGTCTTCCTGGAGATGAAGGACTACGTACCTGGTGCCTGGGCAGGTAGGAGCCCATGGCATGCCAGGAGCCCCAGGGTGTCTGTTCCCCCTTCCTTCCCATCCAGCCAGCCTCCAGAGTGGGGTGAGATCCAGATGGGGCATCCTGGAGTGGGTGAGGACAGGGGAGGCTTCCAGGCACATCTCCATATACACCATGTTGTAATGTCCTGTGCACCCACCCAGATCTCACTGTGGCCCTCGCCAACCCCATCAAGTTCTTCAATGCCCATGACAAGAGGTCTGTGAAGCTCAAGGAGGTCATAGGAGGGCTGCCTGAGGTCTGTGTTGCCTGCACTGCTGCCAGGGGCTCACCAGAGCTCGGCCCTATTTGTGGGAGAGGATGGGGGGAGGGCCGAGTGCCAGGCTCGGGGAGAGAGGGCTGTCAAGCCCCCTTCCTAACCTGCTCTCCCTACACAGAAGCCCTTCCCACTGGCGAGTCCAGTTGCCAGCCAGGTCAATGGTGCGTTGGCCCCAAGGAGCAATGGGTCACCAGGTATGAGCTTCGTTCTGCACACCTATTGGAGGCACCTCCACCTCTGCACCCACAGACACTTCCCTTTAAAAAATTTCACCTGGGGAAGGAAGGGCTGTGTCTGAAACCTTAGTGCCAGGAAAGTGCGGGGCAGGGGGCACATACTGCGACTCCCAAGGGGCGGGGTGGGGGAGGCGAATGGAGCCAAGGGGCCCCCCGGAGCACCTGCCAGCCCAGCCCATGGCTCTTGCAGCAGCCAGGGCCTGGGCCAGGGAAGAGGCTATGAAAGAAGTTGCGGGTAAGGCCTGCTGAGCCCAGTGATCTCGGGGATGAGCCTGGGGCAGGTCCGGGGCTCCTTGGGGGTTGGACGGGCAGGGCGGCCTGGCTGGTGGTGTGCCTCATCCGGGCCTCTGCAGAGCCACGGACCGCCAGCCTGGAGGAGCTCCGGGAGCTAAAGGGCGTCGTGAAGCTGCAGCGGCGGCACGAGAAGGAGCTGCGGGAGTTGGAGCGGCGCGGAGC